GAGGGCTGCACGTCCACGTCGTAGCCGTAGAAGACGTGCCCTTCCTTGGAGCCGCACAGGTAGTGCCCAGAATCCCTCACCTGGGCCCGGAACACGATGAGGCTGAACATGCGGATGCTGAAGCGCTTCAGCAGGTCGCTGCCCGCGCGGACGTGGCTCGAGTCCAGCACCACGGTGCCGTCGAAGTCCGACAGCACCGTGATCGTGCGGCCACGCAGGTTCTTCTGGAAGTACCAGACGACGGAAGAGACCTCCTCGGGCTTGCACTTGCAGGGCAGCTCGAAGGTCATGTCTGCCAGGTAGGCGACGTTCTCGAACGTCAGGAAGGCGGGACATGCCATCTTCTTGAACACATCCCCTTTCTTCTCGATGGCATAGGCCTGGAGGACACTGACCAGGCAGAGGAGGATGGTGGCTCCCAGCAGGCTCGGCCCCATCGCTCTGGGCCAGCTCTGCCCCAGCAGAACTCATCCAGCCCAGCCAGGGATGTGCTGGGAGCAACCTTCCTGCCCCAGGACAGCCTGGCCTCTGTGACACCTGCTCTGGAACCTTCCTGCCCTCAGCAGCTCTGGAACACTGTCACCTGTGGCCCTGAACACGATGGAGCTGTGATGGGAACAATGGAACTGTCGCCATCTTATGGAATCACAGGGTCACGGAACGGCTTGGGTTGGACGGGACCCTAAAGATGATCTCATCCCAACCCCCAGAGTAGAGGACAACCATCGTCTCCCTCACCCCTCTGGCCACCCCTCTTTTGATGCACCCCAAGGATGCATTTGGCCTTCAGTGCTGCCAGTGCTCGCTGTTGGCTCATGTCCAGCATTTCCTCCACCAAAACCCCCAAAGTCCTTCTCTGCAGGGCTGCTCTCAGCTCTTCTCCCAGTCTGTGCTGATACCTGGGATTGCCCCAACCCAAGTGCAGCCCCTTCCACTTGGCCGTCAAGTTCTTGTGGTCCCACTTCTCAAGCTTTTCCAGATGGCCCTGGATGTCCCCATCCTTCTGTCGTGTCACCTGCCAGCGTGCTGAGGGTGGGCTCTACCCTCTGGTTCCTTAAAGGAAACCTGGGGCTGAGCTGGTGAGGAACCTGGTCTGACTGTGAGAGTGGGGTGTGGGGAGCCAAACAGGGCCCCCTCAGGTCACTGGAGCCACCATGGCAAAGGGGCTTCAGTCCCAGCAGTGCCAGCCTGGGGGGTGGGAGTGGGACTGTCGGAGCAGCTCCGGGATGGGAGACACAGGAGTTTCCTGAACTTCCAATCCTAGGCTGTGTCATGTGCTGGAGACAGTGCTCAGTGTGTGATGATTCCTGCAAGGCACTTCAATAACCCAAGACTCCTTTGTGCATCTCCTGGGCAGCCCCTTAACCCACAGCCTCCCCCATGACCCTGCCCCCAAAGGCCCTCTCGGAGGGCTCTGCAGCTCCTTTACTCCTTCAAAGCCCTTCTCACAGAGCCCTGCCCCCCCTCCGTGCCCTCACGGCCCCTCGTACACACATTTCAGGCACTTACAGGCTCTCACTCTCCCCCACCGCGCCCTCCCCAGCACCCGTTCCCTCAGAC